CTCGGGATGCCTTCCAGAGTATAATACCATTTACAAGCCATCTATGATCAACTGGGCGAAACGAAGCGATGGTAATGCAATCGTTATATCGACGTCACTCATAACAGATGCTTACAACGAGATCGCATCCTGGAGAAAAAACGTATTTCTTGTGCCGTATGGGAAAGTAGTAGGGGATTTTATTGATCAAGTGACTTTGCATATTAATGACTGGAATAGTGGTTCCGACAATCAGCATATATCTCTGAAAGCAGCTTTTGTGCTCCTCGCTGTAGGGCTCCAAAAGCCAAGCCCTAAGTCTAATGCAAAAGATCATCAAGATGTCTTGTCTAAGCGCCTAATACTTTGGAGGCAAGGTAAAATTAATAAGTTATTACGCGAAGGTAGAATTATTCAAGTTCGCATCGGAAAACTCAAGGCGTCGGAACCGCCCGATAGATTTAAGGTTTTTGCTAAGCTTGTACTGGAAGGCCAAATCAACTCAGCGCTTCGTTTCCAGACCAAAACAACTAGTGGTGGTGTGCTGTTTTTAACAGATGAGGTCATGTCGCAGTTAAAACAGAAACATCCCAATCCACAAACAGCCAAATTAGGTTCACTGCTCTTCGGCCCAATTGATGACCAGTGTCCGGAATCCGCGTATACAGAGATTAACGGTGAGATGGTCAGGCAAGCTGCCTTGAGAACAAAAGAAGCAGGAGGCCCCTCCCTGGGGTTGACGCGAATGGTCTCCGAAGAATCCTTGCTTGCAAGTCCTTTAAACAGTCATCGACAAGGCTGTTTGAGGCAATAGCCACAATGACAAGGAATCTGTGTAAGCAATACATTGATCCTATGACCATAGAGCCCCTGGTAGCTAACCGTCTGATTCCACTGGATAAAGGCGAAGGTGCTGTTAGACCAATAGGAGTCGGGGAAGTGTTAAGGGGAATTTGTGGAAAGTGTTTAATGAGTGTTGTTAACAAGGATGTCCTCGATGCGAGCGGTTCACTCCAGCTGTGTGCTGGACAAAAGTCCGGAAGCGAGGAAGCAATACACGCTATGCATACTATAGCTGAATCAGATGACACTGATGCCGTACTGCTTATCGACGCCTCTAATGCATTCCATGCACTCAACAGAGCAGCTGCACTGCACAACATTCGGATTTTGTACCCTATATTAGCAATTTATGCTTTGCATGTATCATAGCAGTTTAGCACAGCTGATTGCCATCAAAAAAGGGGAGCAGTATGCCAAAACCATCTCATGGATTAGAACCACAACCTCATTCGCACTCTTGAGATCTGCGTTGGTTTGTCTTAGAGGCTCTAGGACAAGAGGAGTGCCAGGTGACATTAAGAATTTTGACATGGACGTCGAAGTTGTTGAAGGAGCCATTCAATCGGAGTATTGATGTGTTTCCTTACTTTTAAAACTAATTTTAAATAAGTATTTTGACGAAATAGTATTTTGACGAAATAGCTTTTTTTAAGTGAATTGATTGTAAATAGAAATTTAATAGTTAGTATGTTATCAATAAAATATGTTTACTTTAAAGTATTACTATTATTATAATTGTTATTATTATTTACTTCGATTTATTCTTTTTTCTGATGCCAAGCAACCTTAAACTTGGCAAACTGACAAAGAACTGACACTAAAGGAATGATGATGATGATGATGATGATGATGATGATGATGATGATGATGATGATGATAAATAACAGCATAAAACTAAAACTTGAAGAAATTTGCCTTACTTGTACCAGCAGTTGTAAAACTTTATTTTCCAAATGGACATTAGAAGGACTGCATTTTCTATTCCAGGATTGTAAATTGTCCAAGAGCATTCGCGAGTTCTCCAGTCCCAGTCCGATTTACTTACGTTCATCTCTCCGTATGACTGATTAAATGTCCTTCGACAACCTAACAGTAACAAAATACAAACCGTTATAATTATATAGATTTAGCAAAAGGCTAAAAGCGAAGCGTCCATTTATACTTTTAATTACTTAAAACCCAAAAAAATAAAAACGAATAAGCTTCAACCTATGAAAATCCAGCAATTTATACTTAACTGATTTTAAAACAAAAAGTAAGAGAAATTTATAAATCAGTTAATTCGATCAGTCCGATCACACCCAAGCAAGGTAAACTGTAATGAAATAACCTAGGTCCTAGCTAGGTTAACATGTTTTGGCTGGTTAATTTTTCTCTCTAAAGCTCCTAAATAGGCCACTTCCGAGTTCCCAAAACCCTCACTTTCAAAATGAGGCTAAGTGCACAACCTTTCTTGTGAAAATGAGTTTTATTTGCCAGGAATTGAAAAATCATTTCCATATCAAAAGCTGAGCACTTAACCTCGTTTTGATATAGAGGCCCGGGGGAACTCGGAAGTGGCCTATTGATTATTACCATCAGTTACGTTGAAAAATTAACAAATGGTAAAGGGCTCAGCGTAAGCGTAAGAGTCTTCTTTTTGAGTGCTAAGCAATTCTCACATGTGCGACTATAACCACATAGTACACGCTGAGTCGTTCACCATTATTTCATAACATCAAATTAAAAATGAGAAAAAGTTATATTTTTGCTAACAGATAGCAGGGTAATGACGTGAGTGCTGTCATCTGCTCGCACTATGGCGTGTCCAATTATTCTTTCACATTACTTTATCCAAAAAAAAATCGTTTCGCCTTTTGCGTTACCTTGAACGGTCTTTCTAAACTTTCTTTCTGCATGTATTAACACAAAAACTGTACCAAAATGTGAGGTAAATAAAATAAACAGTCGCAAAGAATGTGACGTGGTTTTGCTTTGAGCCCGCGCTAGCTTTGGCCACCATTCACCCATGGGCAAAATTAAATAAGTAAATGGGAAATTGGCCAATCAGAGCGCGCCGTGCTTTATTCTAGTTGCGTTATAAATAGTCAAATATTTTTATTACTTTAGATTTCTTCATTCATTGATTCATTAACAGACAGTACTGCCACTTACCAACTACAATGGTCTGCCATTCCGAACGGGGCCCTACTTTTGATGTAAAAGCCTCAACTGCAATCTCGTACTCCTTAAATGGATGCAAACCGAAGAGAATCACTTGTGTTAAAGACGAGCTGATGTTGAGTTTTGTCTCTTCGTAATGATATCGTTCCTTATAGTAAACGATATATCCGTTGATTACACCGTGTTGATGTTCTTTTGGAATCGGTTTCAATACAACAAGGATAGCATTGCCGGATTGTAGATTTTGCAGATGGAAAACGGGAGGCACACTAGGCGCTGAAGGAAACAAGCAATAATAAGACATGAATTAAAAGTACTGGTCTCACGACATTCTTAGTAAAGACTTTTTAGTAGTATTTTGTATCTTAAATTGAATTGGACGAGGAATGTAATCATTTCAATAAAGAGTCGGAATTAGCACGAGAAATTAAATTTTGAATATCTCAAACCATTACGAAAAAGCCGAACTACATCGAGTAATATATATATTTAGCCACAGCTAAAAGCGAAGCTCCCATTGATAAATTTATATCTTAAATCAAACAATAATTTTGTATTCCACAAATCAGTTAACGTAATATAAGGGCACATTCATGTGACTTTTGAGGGAAAAGCTAAGTGATTTTGGAATGAAACAAATTTTGTATCGACTTGATATAGCCTTATATGTACACCCAAAAAATAGTCTTCGGTCAGATTTAAGAGCAATGATGGCTCTTGATCACAGTAGATAAGGAGTGCAAAACAAATCAGACCGAATTTTTTGCGTTCGACAAGTTTACAAATTCTTGCCAATAAATCAGGGTGCGTGCAAACCAATCTTTTAGCTTTTTTAATACACCACATCTGAGGAGAAAGAGTACTATGAGGTGCTGTTTTTATCATACAGACCTCGTACAAAATGCCGTATTTCACAATTTTTCAAGACAAATTGCATTCATTCAAAATTCAGGACCATAGAGGCACGCGTGGACTTTTAATTAGCGAAACCGTTCAAAAAATTTCCAAAATCACCTATACGGCAAGCCGGTTCTAACTTTTGACAAGCGCCAAATTTGCGAAGAAATTTTAAAACAGTTACGCTTCAAAGTGAAAGAATTTACTGAGTCTATTTTTTATCAACGGTTTTATAACGATGTGTAATCTTAAAAAGCGTTTGATACGCTTGGCATTTTGAGTACTCCTGCGAGCGATGTTTATGAACGCCCTAAAACAAACGGCAAAGCGATGAAAATTACACTTTTGAGACTACCAAAAATCAATAAAGAAAAATAATTCGATAGAACATTTACAGAGACAACAATTTTCATTCACGAAAAAAAAAATGAGTATTTAAGTGTGTCTAAGAATCCTCGATCAAGTCTTTACCAGTAAGCTTAAAGTTTATGTTTTAAGCCGCCGGTTTCCCGGTGTTGGCTGTTTTCAAAGATGAACTCACGAAAAGAAAATCGTTCAAAGCTTTTTTTCTACAGCCAAAATTATAACTAAATATTCTTCGGAAAGTTTTTTCTTTCTATTAAAGTGAATTAATATCGACTAAAGGCTTTTTAAAGTTCTGTAAGCTGAAGCTTGTATCAAACCTCATACGAAGTCAGATCAGTGTCTCCGTCAAATCTTAATTCAAACGTGCATAAACTAGCTTCATAAACTGCGCCGCTGGACTTCATGAAATTAGATTTAAATACAATAATTACTCAGGCTTACCATATTTCGAGATGCAGCTCCTGAAAGCTATCAAGTAAGGCAAGGATCGTTTGAGCCTTTATAATTCTCGTACGCATCCAGCAAGGTGAAAAACAAAAACGATGTCATCCGAAATCGGATTATCGGCTTTGACAAGCGACGCATTTTTCAACCAAAAACCCAATAAACAAACCAGCCATGAATAAGAGAACACTCTTGATAGCAGCTGTATTTCATTTTGTACATCCAGTGGAAAAAGACAGTTAAAAACATCACAAGTTGACTCAAAACTCTGTCAGCTTCAGCTGTCAAAGTAAACAACTTTCAAGATGCTGCATAAATTTTCCGCATGAACTCACCTGTCAAATTTTAACCAATCAGAGCATAAAAATTGGACTTTGAGCGTGACCAACACGTGCCCATGGGAAAAATAGGTCTTCCCAGCCTGTATTTTAAAAACACTGGCTGAATTTTTGCATCTGAAGTCAGTTTGAAATCAAAATCGTAATAGTGCGGGGCGATACCGACATAAACACAACATATTTGATATGAATTTAAAACAAAAGTAAACGTGAGCCTGCGATCATTTGAAAACGAGTAAATTGTCAGCGGGTAACTTCAAAAATACTCGACCTCGATGGGTCGACACCTGAGCCCGCGATTCGGTCAGGTGATAGTGGTCAGCGGATACCCTGTTTTGACAGCTGTCAATTGATGACAACATCGATGTGCAATTAGCTTTCTCCTGGGCTCCCAAAGTAGCTAGAAAGTGTGAGAGTAAACATTGGTATGCCTGTGGTGCGGACGGACGGTCGGTCGGTCGGTCACGTGATTACCAAATTTTCTGGGATGGGTAGATTTCCTTAGCGATGTTTTAGTATAGGTAATAGCATGATTTGTAGGGATATTTGGCATAAATACCACGAGTGATATTTCAAGATTGTTATACGTAATTTCACGAGCCGTTAGGCGAGTAAAGTTTGAGACAATTTTCAAATATCACGAGTGGTATTTATGCCTAATATCACGTACAAATCATGCTATTATTTGTTTATACTACTACCCGCTAAAGGTTTGTAAATTTCACATGTAGGTATTTCAAATAAAGGTGAAATACCACTGCTCTCAGCCAATCAGATTGCAGAAATTTCTCATGTAGTAGTATAATTTACTGAATTTAATTTTTTATTGAGCACTTTGTCTTGTTACTCACCGCCAGGCGGCGTTGTGATGTTGATCGTGTTGGTTGAGTAGGACGGACCATCAGTGAGTGAGCCATTGAAAGCTAAAACTTGAACCACGTACACTCGGTTTGGTATCAACTCTTGGATGAATTTATTACTTTCGTGCTGATAAACGAGGTAAAGCCACGATATATCTTTATTGAGCTCTTTTACCATTAGAGCAAATTGAGCAATATGCACTCCATACAATGGAAATACTTTCCATTCTACTTCAGCCTCGTGTTCTTTTACCCATTTTTCAGAGACATTCCATGAAGAGAGCGTAGTTACTGCTGATGTTTATAAGAAATGAAAAGAAACGTAATTAGACACGCCCTTGCGAGTTCTACTATAGGAACGCCGCTAGCAGAATTTGACCATTGCCTCTACCGGACTCTCATCAGCATCAGGGGTGTAAAACGACTGCGTGGTTGATTGATCATCGCATCGAACTCACAATCCTCTCAATGGTCCAATGACTATAAGAATCAGGGACATTATTGCTTGTGAAATCTGTGAAATCTGGGATCCGAAAAAAATTTAGACTGCGAGCAATCCTTTTTTCCGTCAGTCGTGTCAAGGTTCGGAAGGACAGGAGAGAGCGAAATGGCCCAGAGGGGAACTGGAGAGAGGCAGACCCCAGTTTTCCAGTGGCTGGCCGTGGCTGGCTTCGGAATCCTCTGCTTTTGAATCAAAGATTCCGGAATCCTAGTAACGATTTGAATCCGGAATCCAGGTCCCACTGACAAAAAGTCCGCAATCCACGGGGTGGAATCCAGAATTCTGGACTGTCTTAGATTCCCTTACATGGAACAAAAAATTATTCAGCTAGGACTTCCTGTTCATTCTCTGCTAATCCAAGGTTTTTTTTTTATTTTTCGAAATTCGAATTCCTAAGTAATGTTTACATTATCCCAAAGAAATTTAGCATTAAATCGTAACCCCCATCCTAAAATGTTTACCAATTGTTCAATAATCTGTCGAGACCACTGTTTTGCGAACGGCTGTTGTGATTATTACCTGTAAAATTATTCTGCAGGATTTTGTACGTAGCTTTAAAACCAGCGGAGCGTCTGTCGTGAAGCGCCGAAAAAGTAAGATCAGCCTGGCTACTTGATACAAGAACGTAATTAACATCTCCATCACACAAAAAACTGGCATTTTTGTTCACTGCAGATGAGAATGCAAGATAGTCTTGCAACCTAAATCACACAAGAGAAAAAAAGCTAAAATTAGTACGCAGGGTAACAATACAGGAGTTGATTTAATAAAACCACAACAAGTGTAATTAACAAGTGTAGCTATTGTTTTTATCATTGGGATTACATATCATATTTATGCTGTTCAATAAACATTTCTGATTGGCTAATTTCCCAGTCAACAATTGACTTGTGTTTGACATTGTAGTTCTGTTCTCTTCTTCTCCTTCTCGCTACGTGAAGTGTAACACAACGAAACTTTAAGGAATAAATGTCTCAAGGTATCGAATGAACTGAATCATTTTAACCTAGGTTTATGGGCCCAGGACTTTGAAAAATGCTGTAAGTTACGTGATTGTTATTTTGCCGAAGCGTACGGCGGAGATGTCGAGTTTCGCTGTGTCAAAGATCGAAAAGTTGAACGGGAGAAATTACCAGTCATGGAAGTACAACGTGAAGCTCGTTTTAATGGAGCGTGGTTTATGGGGTTTCACTCAAGAAGGCCAAGAAACGCCTCCTGAAACCGATGTATCAGCAGCTGTAGGAAATTCTTTTCGCCTTTGATCCGACAAAGCTTATTCACTCATTGCGTCAAACATAGAAAAAGATATGCAAATTCACATATCTTCGGTGACCGACTCGTTCACCGGGTGGAAAATTTTGCAAAAGCAATTCGAATTTGTGTCAGTTACTCAAATTGTTGGTCTCAATCGTAGATTTTAAGCAGCAAGTATGAAAGACGGCCCAGATTTAATACAGCATTGGACTCACATGACTTCCTATGACATCACATGACTTTCATCGAAGAAATTTGCTACGGTCGTGCTAGGAAGTTTACCCGAGTTGTATGATAATTTCTTGACAAGTTTAAACGCCCGAGCGCTGATGATCTCGACTGGGAGAATGTAAAAGGATTGTTGATTCGAGAATATATGAAGCGGGCTGAGAAGAACGAGAAACAATAATCTGATAACAGAGGAAATCGTCGTATCGAGGAAGATTTCAACCACGTGGTGGAGCTGCTGGCGGTTGCGGTCGAGGTGGGCGATTTCATAATTTCAACTCTAATGCTCATTCCAGCCATGTGATCGCGTTAAACACAAAGGTGTTAAGTGCTTCAAATGCAACCAGAATGGACACATTGTAAAGAACTGCCCGAACAGCAACAAAGAGAACACCGGGAAAAGTGAAAAAACCAATACGGCCGAACTGGAAGGAGTTGCACTAATCTCAAGCACGATTAATCAGTCAAATGAATGTATGGTTTATTGACTCAGCAACCACAAAGCACACGACAAGCAATAAAGGCATTTTAGAAAACTATGTTCAGTACCAAGAACAACACAAATATTTACCTGGGAGACAGCACAGTAATTCTTGCACATGGCGAAGGGAAAGTCAAACTCCCTACAGTAAACAGTACTCGTGAAATTGTCCTTGACTTGCATCAAGTGTTGTTTGTACCAAAGCTAACCTAGGACTTACTTTCAGTACCGGCAAGGGCGTTGATGGGAGCAGAACTTCACTTTGACAAGGATAAATGTTTAGAACGGAAGAATGGCCAAGAATTTGTTATTGGCAGTCTATTGCGTGACTAGCTGTACACAGTCAATTCTACCGAATACACTCAAGTTTCAACAGCAAACAGTGCACCATCACTTGCAGATTGGCAACGTAGATTGGGTCATCTAAAATACACCTAATAGATATGAATCAGTTCAAGAAGAGAGAAATGGCTAATTGTATGAACTATGTTGCTGATACCCAATCCCAGCAAGAATGTGAAGCATGTGTTCTTGGCAAAATGCAGGAAAATCCTTTTCAAAAACAGAGCCAACACAGGGCAACCAGACCATATGAGATTTTACACAGTGATGGATGTGGTCCAATGTAAGTGGAGTCAAAAGGCTGAAGTAAATACGTGCTTACGTTCACAGATGATTTTTCGTGATATACCACTGCTTACTTCATAAAACCAAGAGTGAAGTTCTTTTGAAATTCAAGGAATATGTAAATTCAGTTGAGAAACATATTGGTTATCAGATTATGAAGCTGAACATTCTTGTAGAGGAAGATGTTAAAGTTCTGAGAATGACAATGGAGGAGAGTACACATCCAAGAAGTTTACTACGTTCTGTGCAGACAAGGGAGGAGGTCACTGTTCCATACTTTCCACAGCAAAATGGTGTTGCTGGACAATTGAATCGCACCATAATGGAGGGAGCAAGATCGATGCTCTACCAAAATTACAGCTGGCATTTTAGGCAGAAGCCTGCAGCACAGCAGTTTACCTTAACAATCGAAGTCCCACAGCAGCATTGAAAGATAAAACTCCATTTCAGCGTTTGTTTGGTAGAAGACCAGACATTTCTTATCTAAAAGCATTTGGTTGTGTGAGTTATGCTCATGTTCCAGATAGTCAGCGGAGATAGGTTGATACTAAAGCCCACAAAGCAATTTTTGTTGGATATCCTGGTGTCAAGGGGTATAAGTTGTATGATTTGGAGAAGAAGAAGAAGAAGAAGAAGAAGAAGAAAAAGTTTGTTGTGAGTCGAGATGTTCAATTCTTTGAAGAGAGCTTTGATCATTTTGACGAGAAGGCTAAATCAGATGATGCTGGCCAAGCAGATTTGATGTTTAATTTTTTTCAGATAATATATAGATTTAGCTAGGGCTAAAAGCGAAGCTCCCATTAATAAATATATTATTTAAATCAAACAATAAACATGTAATCCACAAATCAGTTAACTTAAGGGCATATTCATGTCACTTTTGAGGGAAAGGCCAATTTATTTTAGAGTAAAACACCTTACATCGAGCTGATAACCTTATATGTACATCCAAAAAAGAGCAAACATCTTCGATCACATTCAAGAGCCGTAATGGGTCTTGATCACAGTAGATTAGGCGTCGAAAAAAATTCTTGGAAAACAAATCAGTCCGAATTTCTTTGCGTTTGTCAGGTTTACTTTACAAATTCTTGCCAACAAATCTGGGGGTGTGTAAACCAACCTTTTATACTTTCTATACATTACATATGAGGTGAAACAGTCCTATTTATCGTACAGACCTGGGACAGAATGCGGTATTTCACAGTTTTTCGAGACAAGTTGCACTCAGTTGCCAGCCGGTTCTCATTTCTAGTGCGAGGTGTCAGTTTGGTCGAGTATTTGAACGAACTTTAATAGTTACGCTTCAGCATAATAAAGAATTTATTATTTTATTTTTTTTTTGTTATTTAATGGTTTCAGTTATAACGATGTGTGATCTTATAAAGCGTTTGATACGCGCGACATTTTTAAGTACTCCTGCAAATGATGTTCAGGAACGATGAAAACAAACAAAACGGACAAGCGATTAACATTGCAAGAGAGACTGCTAACAATCAATAAAAGAAATATAATTCGGTGAAACATTTACAGAGACAACACTTTTCATTCACGAAGACAAGTATTTAAGTGTCTCTAAAAATCCTGATTCTTTAAGCTCAAAACTTAAGCTTAAGTTAATTATGTTTTACTTTCAGCCGGCCTCCCGGTAAGTTGCTTTTTTCAAAGATGAACTCCTCGAAGAAAGAAAATCGCTATAAGTTTTCTTTCTACAGCCAAGTTTATAACTAAGTATTCTTCGGAACGTTTTCTTTCTATTTGCGGTGAGAAAATATATCTGAAGGCCTTTTAAAGTTCTGTAAGCTTATAGTGGGGCCCCATACTAATGGAATATGGTCAACCTCTTTTCGTTCGGTTGTCCGAGCGTACGTACGTACCTACCCGTCTACAGATTAGGGAACTTAAGATGGAGACGTTTTCGGGGCGACGGCGACCGGACTGACGGAGAAAGCCTGGCACTGAGGCAGCCGTCGCTTCCCGTCAAAAATCGAACATTAAGATCGCAGTGAACTCAGAAGGACGGCGCCTTTAATTAGAAGAATACAGAAGAGGAAAATATGGCTTCATGCAGACAACATGTATCGGATGAAGACTTTCTCGTTTTGTGGGAAAATTATGAGTCCAAAAATCCCGATTTTCTTCGGGACAGCTACGATCCGTTCACGCTAAAAATCATGCGGGATGCAGCTGACTTCAAGGCAGAATTTCGTGTTGAAAAAAAAATTATCTCCACAGGCTTGCCGAAGCCTTGCAAATTACAGGAAAATTAAAATGCTACCAAGGAACCGTATTCTTATTTTGGTATTGAAATAATTCCCGGGAAATACTTGCATGCAACAACAACAACAACGGCAACAACTTTATTTCAGTATTCCCACGCCGAGTTAGTACATGGTATTACCCACTATTCTATATAATTTTCAATGCGTTTCATTTATGCGATATTCTAACGAAAATAGCGAACTAAAAACACACAATTGAAATATCGGAGTTCATATTTTTTGTCTGGATACTTTTATTTGGCTCGTAGGGCAATTTTGTCCATGTCAAGCTCACTTACGGTTGGCTGTTTACCAAGTTGGATCTTGACCCTGTGACACGAAAACATAGAGACATTCAAAGATGTAAGTTTAGATAACAGAGCTTGGAAATCGAGCTTGAAATGTGCCTCACAGAAAACAAGGACAATTTAAGAACGATAATCTGCAAAATGTTGGTTGCTAAACGCAACAAACCTGATTGAAATGAAAGTTAAATACTCACGTTTTTGCCACAACGCCAAACAGACCAGTTTCACGTCGCCGACGGGACCACGATGGCAAGGTGGTGAGCACGAGCATGCGCAATATCCAACAAATGATGATGTCACGTCCGGTTGAAGTTGCCGTCGCCCCTAAAACGTCTCTATCTTAAGTTCCCTATTGTACGGGTGGGGTAGGGGAGTCTATCAAAAGGAAGGGAGAGGGTGTCTCAGGCGTGCCTTTGCAAGTCCAGATCTTTTATCTAGGACATTCACAATATGGTCAATTGACAGCTGTCAAAACGGGATAACCACTGACCAGTATCCCATGACCATACCGCGGGCTCATGTGTCAACTCGTCGAGGTGACGTGATTTATTTGGAAGCTGTCCGCTTACCAGTTAATTGTTTTACTAGATCGCGAACAATGTTCAATCTCATACTTTCTGGCTAGTTTGGGAGCACAGGAAAACTGATAATGCACACATATTGGACATCAATGTTTTGACAGACATCAAAGGCAATAATTACTCAGGCTTACCATTCATTAGAGATTCAGTTCCTGAAAGATATCAAGGAAGGCCACAGTTGCTTGAGACTTTTAAACCCTCTTACGCATTAAGCAAGGTAAAAAACGAAAACGCTGTCATCCGAAATCAGATTACCGAATTTTGACAAGAGACGCATTTCCGTACCAAAAACCCAATAAACAAACCAGCCATGAATAACAGAAGACTCTTAATAGCAGCTGTATTTCATTTGGTACATCCAGAGGAAAAAGACAGTTAAAAACATTACAAGTTAACACAAAACTCTGTCAGCTTTAGCTGTCAAAGAAAACAACTTTCAAGATGCTGCATAAATTTTCCGCATGAACTTACCTGTCAAATTTTGACCAATCAGAGTGTAAACATTAGACATAGAGCGTGACCAACGCTTGACCATTGTAAGGAAAGGTCTTCCTCACCTGCATTTTTCAAAAACTGGCTGAATTTTTGCGTCCAAGGTCAGTTTGAAATCAAAATCTTAACAGTGCAGGGGCATAGTGACGTAAACACAACATATTTCATATGAATCATTGGAAAAAATAAACTTGAGCCTGCGATGATTTGAAACTGGTAATTTGTCCGCGAATAACTTTAAAAAATACTCGACCGACACTTGAGCCCGCGGTACGGTCAGGTGATACTGGTCAGCGGGTACCCTGTTTTCACAGCTGTGAGTTGATCGCAACATTAGTGTGCAATTAGTTTTCGCTTGGGCTCCCAAACTACGTTGTAGCTAGAAAGTGTGAGAGTAAACATTAGTTTCCCTGTGGTGTGGACGGACGGTCGGGCGTACGGTCACGTGATTACCAAATTTTCTCGGATGGGTAGATTACCACATTTCCTTAGCTATGGGGCTCCTCAAGTTCAAGAGAGTGCTGAAACCGTTGATCAAGAGAAAGTTAATACTGCAGTTCTAGAAAATGTTGAACCCGCGCCTGTGAAGAAAGTTGACTGCCCATTTCCAAAGAATGTTGAAACAGTTGCAGCACCGCTGAGAGAGCGCGTAAATGAAGAACAAGTTAGAAGAACATGAAGATGCATTTATGAAAGAAGTCCGAAAATTAGGACCAGTTAGGTAGCGAAGAATGCCAAGGAGATTCCAATATTATGATTGCCTGTTAGCTGACTCTGAAATTGATGAGCCAAGCAGAAGGTCATAAAACATTGAATGGTAAACAATCTGATCAGTGGAAAGAAGCCATGAAGACTGAATACTCATCTTTATTAAAGAATGATACATGGGCATTGGTACCTCCATCCGGAGGAAAGAACATTGTTGGATCCCGCTGGGTGTTGAAAATCAAACGTTATGAAAATGGTTCCATAGATCGTTTTAAAGCCAGACCTGTTGCACAAGGATATTCCCAAGTCAGAGGTATAGACTATGAAGAAGTGTTTTCACTAGTGGCCAGTTATACATCTGTGAGATCGTTCTTGCCCTAGCTAGCTAACGTACAAGATTTGGAGATACACCAAATGGATGTAAAAACTGCCTTTCTGAACGGTTCATTGCACCGTGGAATTTACATGTCACAACCAGAAGGATTTGTTGATCCTGGAAGACCAAATCATGTTTGCAAACTGAAGGAAAGCATTTATGGACTTAAACAGTCAGCTCGTTGTTGAAACACTACTCTGGATGAGTATTTGAAATCGGTTAGCTACTGCAATAGCAAGGCCGGTAACCATAAAGGCCACCACCCCATTAAGACCCTCTTATATAGCTGGCAAGTAGACAATTGTCCCGTCACTCTTTTTCTGAATTTTCAGGATCGGCCCCTGACGATTTATAATTCTCTGCAGCCCCATTATAAGTGGAGGGCGCGTTTTACACTAAATCTGCACTGTAAATGGCAATCACGCTGGGGAAAAAAGTGCCAAAAATCGGCCACAAAATCCGTCCAAAGTCTGTTTAAACATATGCGTGGAATGTTACAAATATCTCTTAAACTATAGAAGATAATGAGTAAAGACTTTCACTTTGTATTTGTCTTAAGTTGTTCTATCAAATTCTCTATGTTTTGGGTTAGTACTGCGCATGACCAAAAAGCCCCTTGTATGATTTCAAATCGGACAAGTTCTTCAATTTTATGTCCACTATATTTCTGCAAAGTATCACACTTTCAGGTTTAATTCTCTTGGAGGAGAAGTCTTTGGGAGTTTTTAATTTTTTAATTGGCCATTAGAGGGTCACGTGACTCTTTACCAACAAAACGTCTATTCCAAAATTTTCCTGGTGTCAAGTATTGTTGCCTGTATTAATTTCAGTGTCATGCCTTTAAAGGAAACAAAGTTATAACCCCAAAAACTCCAAAACTGTTTGTGCCTTTCACGCCCCCACTCAATCTTTTGGCCGATTTTTAGCACTTTTTTTCCCAGCGTGATTCTCTGCAGTCTGTTTTGTTTTATCATTTTGTCGCGAACGACAAAACAAACAAATAAAAACAAAGACACTAAGACCCTACTGACTTTTATTTATCCTACCTGCAATAGAATGACTGGTGATGATGATAAACGGACAAACTCATTTGATGGAATTCAATTAAGATTGATGATGCAGGTCCACTTGGTCTGATTGCCCAGTTACAATATTGGAATCCACCATATCCACAAGGATAGCCTGGGCTTTCTATGGTGCCATTATTGTCACTCAATGTTGTCTGTGCTTCACACGCTTTAAAGCAAAATACGTTTCTGTGAGGTAATCATCCCTTTTTGTAGAAGAACTATGATCTATTAGTATAATTACATTGATGATTATCTAGAATTGAGCGCTATGACTGGCTAGGGGCTTCGCCTCATTCCGTTATAATAACCGCGCGGTGATTATGGCGGGATGATGTACATTAGAGGCTAGCAGTCTTTAAAATGGCAGCCAGATTTGTTGATGTTTCGGAGTCGGAAATTGATCAATTTATAGAAAATGCTGTTCCTCATAAAACAAAGATGCCACACAATTTGGAGTCAAACTATTCAAAGGTAGGTTGATAAAATTACCCTTTTGCAAGTAACGCAATTTACTGAAAACTGGTATGTTTGTTTACACTTTTTTGCTTCAAAGTGTTGGCAACTTTTAGTAACTTTTGCAAAATATTTTGTTGTACAGAATGGTTTCAACAGCAGCAAGAGTTCACAAATGAAATAGAAAAAATGGAAGTCGATGAATTAAATAAGTGTCTGGCAAACTTTTACGTTTCCGTGAGGAAACCCGACGGCAGCTATTATAAGAAAACCAGCCCATTGTCGATCAGAGCCGCCCTCGACCGACATCTTTAAGCCACAAAATCCAGTGGTGGATCCAAGGGAGGGGTCTGGGGCCCCCCCCCGCCCCACCTTATTTTTGGGCTAAACTGAGGCCCAAACGGCCCAAACAAATTTGGGGGGAGACCCCCACCCCCACCCCCTCCTTATCTCAAGGTTTGGATCTGGCACTGAAATCTTTCCAATAAAAGTCGCTTTCTTTTATTTCCTCAAATAATCATCAATGTAATTATACTAAAACAATTAGTCGCATTCTGCGACTAATTGTTAAATAGCAGCAGACATAACTTACTATAACGTCCACTTATAGCCGCTTTGAAAGCTATTTTTTATTGTGCGTTCTAATAGCGGGAAAAGCTAATCTTATCGAAACTCCATGACATACATCCCGCGTCCACGCAAGTATGCGGTCACCGGACACCATTTTATGTAATGATCATTTTTGTCTCTTACACTTGCACGTGAGGCAAAATCCGGAAAAACACTTCATTTCATTTTGTTATAAAAAATATCTGGCAGCAGTTATTGCGGAGGTAAATTTACGATTGTTCTTTCGATTCTCAGTTGTAATTGCTTATTTCCCTTTTGCCTCTTTCCTCTGCTTTGTTTTTCTTATTTATTTTTTTTTTTCTAAATCTTTGTCATTTGAAGGTACGCACGTGTACATGGGCGCAATGGACACTGGCGTACTTCTAGCAAAGCCCCTGATTTTATACATTGTTGCCGGTGTTTCCACTTTATAAGATACTTATACTTAAAAATACGCTGTGGGTATCGAACTATAGCTGGCAGAATGTTTTCCCAACTTCAAGGCAGTAAATTTCTTTCAAATAACTTTTAATTTTAAAAACGATCATCAACGCCTTGTTTGATTGGATATCCAGACATCTCAAAAGACCCCGGTTACAACTTATTTCCAGCTGTTTGGACACCGGTATCCCATGTTATCATTCATTCAAAATATTTCTGATTGGCTAAAATCCCACGCATAATTCATCATAACCAGCTTTTGTCTTGCAAATTTGGAAGAATTTTGCCATATTGAAATGAGGACGTCAAAAGTGCAGCAAAGCTGCAGATTACTGAACCGTTAACCGAGAAGACCTGGGAACGAGGTTGAGTTGTTTTGGTAGTGAGAATAAAAATGGTGGAACATTTCAGTCGTTTCACCAGAAAGAAATAGGCGAACTTTTGTCTAAAAACATAGCAAGAACAGCAAGACGACAGCTCGAAGGACATCTGCTATTTGGAGAATATTTGCAGAGCCGAACAACCCTCTATCTCCTAACCTTGCCGATTGACGTGCACTATAGTATGTGGTCCTTGGTCCGCGATGTCCCTGGTCCGCGACTTTTCCAAACATGGTTAATTATTTCGACGGGAAAGAAAATACGGTAAGAAATGAAAGGTTCGATGATTTATTGATTAGCATTCTTTCATACGACGAAGTTTCGGCTTTCCTGCTGTGTGTGAGGCGCGAAATTAAAGTTTGTTGACAGGTAGGTTAATTTGTCTTTCTTGAAAGTTCTGCGGCACCGGAAGTTACATGGTCATGTCTACTTAGCTTGTGAATAAATTGTACGCAACGGGCGAGACGTGCCTTTTTGCTGAATAGGTCAGTTTTCAGATAAACCTATTTCTGCCGTTAAAAGCACATTGCTATAGACGTTTTTGTTTTATCGACTCTTGAAATATATCACTAAATTTCGCGTAGTGGCCCTTGGTCCGCCACCTATGACCTTGGTGGAACTACATTCCGCAAAATAAAAGAAGACTGCCTTTGTTTTCGAAGAATGTTTCAAAAACCGTCCCTATACATGTTCACAAGTTCTTTACATACAGAGTTTTTAGTCATTATTTTGGACTGCTTTGATAACCGCTCGTGTGGGAGACCGTTATCTGAAGTCTTTGAAAGAAAAGCAGATTACCTTATAATCACAACAACTTCTGAAAAAATTATAGCTTTATTGCATCAAGAATAGAAAAAATACATGAAATATTGTGCAAATTAATCTTTTGTGTACCAAATATCGCATTATCACGTTTTGTTTTTTTTTTTGTGCTGAGTCGCGGACCAAGGACCATCGAGCACGCTGTTTTTTTTTTTTTTTTTTTTTTTTTTTCGAATCACAAGCAAAAGTTTGGAACTTGCAACTTTACGATCATCGAGAGTAACATAAAAGCTATATTCAGGGGGTATTTCAGCTCGTTACGATTTTATTAAGGTAAGATATTCATGGAAATATCTCTTAGTCATGGACCAAGGACCGCCAACTGTATCGAAGATGAACTTAACATCGATAGAAGTATGCATGTTTTAGTTTGTTTTTAAGACCAGGGATTATTTTGAATGAATAATAAAACAATTATTGAAAGAGGCTGAGTACTACCTGAAGAATTATGGAGATCGAGGAGGGTGGCCGAGGCGGATAACAGCCTCCGAGATGTCCATGATTTTTCAAGTGATACAAAAGCCGAATTCAATAATTGTTAACATACGTTTATCTTGGACAAAGATGAAATAAGGGCGGCATGAATAAATACAAGCTCCTGCGAATAAGATTGCAAAAATATACATAATAACATTTCAAAACTTATAGTTGTGAGTCTACATAGAACGACTTGAACAAAAGAAAGTTTAGTCTTTGTTATCTCCCTTTAACTTATTAAGTGGTACCTCTTAAATGAAATGTCTGGTCACTATCAACTCGGTACGACTTAGGGATTACCTGGTGCCCGAGTACTGGTGTCCTGGTACCAGCGCAAAATGGTGTTTGTTTATACCTTGGTTACCCAATATGTGACTATGTACATATTTGCTCCATTTCACCCTGTGTCTGGTGCCATTTTCAAACGTGAGCGAAGCAGGAAGTCAGAACCGGGACAGAAAATGTGTAGACACAGAGACCCGGTGCCTACAAAGGGCCCGAGTACAAGGTCGGCCAACGACACCGTGCTCAAATTCCAACTTGAATTGGGAAATTGAAAACAAAAACGGTTTGTTCACATTAGTGCCCATTGAATATCATATCATGCTCAAGCACCCTGCCCGGGCACCAAGTGTAAACGCTGCCTTAATTTCGTTTAAATTTGCCATATTTTCGGCAATGTTGCAGTTCTTACATGTAAAAATCTCCCAGTAGGATTCCTGTCCAATTCCTGCCTCAGTATATCCAGCAATCCTAATCTCATATCTGGCTCCCTTGCGAAGGCCTGAGAGTGTGTAGCTTGTTGTTGAATCACTAACGTTCTCCCGTCCTCCATGGTGATAACAGGAGGAATAATAGTAAATGGTGTAACCGAGTAAATGACCGTTGTGCGCATGTTTGGAAATTAGATACCACTGGAGGTGCACACTGCTTGGTGTAATAGAATCGATACGGGCATAGGGTGCTTCAGAAGGGACTGAAAGAAAAACAAAAATATTGACATTGTAAAGTACTTAAATCTAGTTTCGCGCAAATGCTGACGTCATTTTCAATATATATTACAGAGGGTAGGAGAATGCACGGCATTTTTTTTCTACGAATGTTGGCCCGACAAGGTAAGAAATACAGTTTTATGAAATTTCTTCATACATGATCATAATCAAATGCTTTCATTTGTAAGTTCAGCAGCAGTTTCCGGAAAGACGGATCTCCTCTTTACTTATAGCCTACGTCCGCAGATGTAATTTAACCTCGGTTAGTAGCGTCTGCGAATTAGGGCCGGTATCTTTTCTCTGGGCTCACAAAGCACTCAACAAATTACCGGATCATCTTACTTAGAAAATTGACGATCAGGCCAACTATGTACATAACATGTAGGTAGGGCTTAAAGCCCTGTTGGCCACTACGCAAACGTTTTTTGGTTTTGCAAAAAAACTCCGTCAACAGGAGGCCATTTCTATTTTTTCAGCTGCCAAAATTGCCTCAAGTGTCGTCAAACTTCAAAGATGCACTCGAGAATATTTGGCGGACAACAATTTTTTGTTAGTTGACAACATTCCTTGTTCCTTGACAGCTATAGGAGCTATCCCCAGTCGGGCCATCTTATTTCGCGAACGTGATCAATCATAGTTCCGTCAATTAACGTTTTTGGTTACATGACAATTCGTTAGTTTCGAAATTTTCGTATTGCGAACAGGACGCAGGGTATATCTCTTTACTGATCCAAGAATAAAAGTCGCTTTTTTAATATTCTTTTTACAAAAAAAAAAATGATTCAATTCACTTTCAACGAGACAGTCTATAGGCTCTTTTTTACTTAATAACCTCTGTTGTCAAAACAAAGTTTGCTTTGGTAAGAGAGGTTTAGTAAAAAAGAGCCTATAGGTCGTCTCATTAAAAGTAAATTGAAACATTTTTTGTGAAAACAATATTTATTTAACCATGGTTACTTTTGCAGTAGTCTGACAACAAAATGTGGCAAGACTCTAGCCATAGTTATACAAATCAAATAGAATCATATAAAAGAGGTACTCACCTCCTTCCAGTGTTTTAACATTTGTAATGCTACTTTTATGTGGATTTCCTAAAACGTCAGCGGCGAAAATCAACACTGTAAAATCTGTAAATGCATCTAGGCCATCTAAGGTCACGGATGTGACATTTGAAGGTACAACTTTTCCTGTGACCTCATATCTCCCGTAGTGTTTCTGCCAGCTTACATAAACAATATACGCTTTCACTGGTTGGCTGATCTCGTTGGTTAGCCCTTGCCATTGTACATAAAAGCTTTTTTCAGTCACATTGAGGATGTTCAAATTCCAGCCACTAATTCCTGGTGCTGCAATGGTGTTGGAATATTGGCTCAATAATTGACAAGCAAACACAATAATAGGCTAGTTTGTACGCTGCCATGATTTTGTGTCGTTTGGGTTTACAAATTAACGATAGGTAAACGAGCACAGTCAAGAGTATGAATTTTTTTTTTTATTTATATACCTAATCTAATCCCGAACGTAACATTAAAACACTGATTTACCAAAACTTTCAGCTTACCTGAGCTTAGGTCTCCTTTCACGAGAACATAGTCTGCAACAAAGGGCTGTGCGTAGTTATAATTGTCCTCAATTCTTACTACTACAGTGACAACTGTTGTGGAAAAGAACCACAGGATAGGAGTCTTTAATTGCTGACACCTATACATGTATTCTATCTGATGCCATTCGTCCCAGATTTGTACCTCAGGCGTTCTGCCAAAAATTAAAATCGTGGTCACTTTTAAGGTATAATGTATACTTAACGCAAGGTCTTCCAAAATGCCAAAGGAGTCTAAAAAATAACTGTTTAAGAAGACAAACCAACTAAGGACAAAAAAGGGAACGAAAGAACTTACCCGCAATATTCGTCTCTGTAGCGCTGAAGATTTACAATAATTTGATATCCATTGGGATTTTGAATCGTCCATTTACATTCAGTTTCTTGAGGCTTTGGACCTCTCGCAAAAACCAATTGGCCTGATATGTCTGCCAGGCTTTCATAGCATTCTAAGACATTAAAAAGAAATAAAATGGGGTTTCAATTGTGGTAAGAAACGTACCGTGCTAATAAAAATGATTAATTTCCTTTATAATTTGCAATACTGTAATTAAAGTACCAAAGAAAGCCCCCTAAATTCGAGAGCAATAGGTATTGTTTAACAGTATTATCGTAAATTGTTTCTTGCCATGTAACGACAAAAATAGATCAAAGAGAAATAACCATTCTACCCTAGGAAACATCTCTTTCATGAGATTGGAATTTCCGGAACCACAGAAGCAAGGACCAATTTCATCCCGGGGGAAGAGTGAGAGTTGTTTTTGGAGGAATGAAACCAAACACACTGTAGTGGTGGGTGAATAAAGGACTGATCAGAGGAATTGCTTGATATTGATGAAAAAAACTGAAACCGTATCAGTAGCGTCCTTGTGATCTATCTCGCGTTTTTCCCAATGTCATAAAATTTTATGCCAAACATAGCTCATTGTACCTGTTAGGATAAGATAGTAAGACACTAAACAAGGAGATCAGTTCAAAGCAGCTGAGAACTGAGAATCCAGGTGGTTTCGCAAACGGCGAACTAAAACTCGCAGTGGAATCGCCCCAAAACGGCAAAAATTCTTTAAAAAATCATCCTAAATGAAACAAGGAGATGAGATAAGAAGTTCTGATGTATTAACTGTAATTGTCAGAGAAAACCAGGCAGGAGCAAAAGATCGAGGTCGGCGTTTGACCTCCACCTTTTTACCATAGGAAAGCCACGTGAAAAGATTATCAACGGTTGTATTTTCAGAAGTTGATGGGTTTTTTATTTCAAGAAAAAAAATTTGCTTGAAACCAGGGCCTTTCGCGGGCATGAAATATCTTGATTTTCAGCCAACTTTTGTTGAACCTTTATGAAATAACAGGAAGGAAAAAAAATTGCCTTTCTTTTTTGACATCTTTAACCTTTAATAAACCGATTGAAATACAATTTTCAATATTTCTCCCAGTTCGATGTCTTTCATGTCGAACTTGATATTACTACCAAGTCGTTAATGAACCAGACCCAGATCTCTTCCATTTTCACACTATTTTCTCAAAAGTGCTCGGTTTAAGGTGGCTCGACTGGATTTTTGGGGAGGATACCTCCCAAGTTTGAGCATTAACTACGTCGGCATGAGTAAAGATAAGGAAAAAAAGTTACCACAACTGTATTAGATAAAGATGAAAATTTCTTATGATCTGGGTTTTTTTGCAATCGGAGTCGCCATGGCAACGTAATGACGCCATAACCTTTTTCATTTATCGTTGTGTTTCTCTGTACCAGGAGTTTTTTGAAGAAAGCGCTTAAGGGAGTATGTACCTGCCATAATTGCCTCCATTATGGCAAAGTTTAAGGAAATTCTATGGGAGCGTTTTCGAAATATTTTGAAATGCAGTCTTAAGAATCATAAAAACAGTGAAATAGCATGCTAGCAGCGAAATTCGCTAATATTTTAAGAAAATGATAAGCTTTGGTAACGCGGCTTCTTCTCATAGTGGTTTGATTCCATTGAAAACTGCATACAAAAAAAGAGGGGAATTGCTCTGCGCGATCGCGAGTAAGATGGATTTTATTAACTTGCATTCAGCTGCTTTTGATACAGTTTTTGGACGTAATTTGGTCCATGCCTAAGAATTTCGCATTTTTCCAAAAACCGCCGATAATTTTTTTTATAAATTCGACAATTCCGAGATCAATTGTCAAGAAATATTCCCAGCAAGTTTTAAGAACATTGAAAACAGGGAAGTCTTTTAAATAGGGCCTAAATATAGCCAGTTTCCCCCCCCCCCCCCCGCCCCCAGATTTTGTGTTTACAAGCGAGCGTCCTCATTATTCACTGGCATTGTTTGCAAGTTTCATATACACGTGCACATTTAGCAAAAAGATAGAATTTGCATAAAAAAGGACCCTCGGTTAAATCTCCGGGATAAGCTAATTACCGGGTAAAGAGATTAGTGATACATTATAACATCAGAGCTACTCTTTGTGAGAGTTTCTGTGATGTTATAACCCAAGTAAGATAATAAGGGAATAACATGACTCTTTGAGGGAATATTGTTTATTTGCGGGCCGAGCGCGAAGCGCGAGGGCCGTAAATGACACTACAAGGGCGCAAATAAACAATATTCCCGAAAAAAGTCATGTCATTAACATTATCATCAATAAACAAGGCCAAATGATATCAAGAATGCGAGTTTTAATAATACAAGCTAAGTGAATAACGAATTGAAAGTCACTTCAAATCTCCTCTTACAAACTTTTGGCTTGTGCGCATGCGTGAAAACACAAAAGCTGTTTAATAACGTCCGATTAGTCGAAAAATATGCCTTTATTTGAAGCAAAATTCGTTTTTAGCCATTCTTTTAGCCATGCTAATCAGCCGAAAACCAGTCCAAAGAAGAGAAATTGGTGAAAAAAAAAATTGGCGTTTTTTTCGCTACTTTCCCGCCGTCACCAAAGGGTTGAAGAAAGCTACCAATTCGTCTCAAATTGGCCTTTTTCCTCGTAAAAAAGTTGAATTTTCCCATTTCAGCACGAAAAAGTTTTGTAATGTGAAAAAATAGAACTTGCAATGTTTAATTAATGTTAATGACAAGTTTCTTACTTAATTGATTGAAATATCAGTTGAATACGCTAATTCTAAAAGCAAAATGGCGATCACTGTGACGTCATAAATGACGTCATCACATCTTGACTAACCTTAACAATGCTAAAATAATATCTCATATTCCTAGTAGTTCAAATCTTCTTTTTCAAAAACATCGTGTGTTTTTAACAGGGAATCAAAGGTTTTTTTATAAATCCAAGATGGCGAACAAAATAAGGGGTTAAGTGGCAAATTTAAAACTCGATTTACAAAGTGAAAGCTACCGTTTTATCCAAGCTATCATGCATTTTTGTGATGCTCTTTACTCAAAGATTTAGATTATCCCTTTTTTTTTGTTCCCCTTAAGTGAGCCATACAACCCCCCTAGCTGATGGACTATAGGAGCGGGGCACTTTGTGATGAGTGGGCTGCGATTCTGATTGTTTTCTGTTAGTGTTTACTCTTGATAGAAATCTGCACAGATTGTAGGCTGCAACACTATAAAATACGCGAGAAAAGTGATTTTGATCTACATTTGGATGAAGGCATGGAACAGGTTGGCTATAGCATTATATGTACTCGAGTCCTGAACGAAAGCTAGAGTTGACTCACTAACTACTTGAGTTTACTAGATGAAGTTTACATTATATAGTTGGGACTGTCGATGAAATCAAAATTGGGAAAAAATGATAGAAACACGTGAACGAAGGGATTTGAGCCCATGTAGTCTCAGAAGACGGTCCAATTCCCTAAATTCTAACCCATGGGGGATAGCCAAGTCTATGTTTGTATAAATTTTGTTTTCACGAGAAATCCTCGTAAAAATTTGACATCACGGGATTCAAAAACGGATTCAAAACGGCGGTGATCCCATCTTGAAGATGAGATGTTCTTACAAAATGAAGCAAACATTTTCTTCTTTGATAGGTTGCTGCATATTTTACGCTTTAGTTTACATTATATATTTTCTGAGGAATAATTTAAGTGGAGTTTATGTGGTAAGGACTAGTTTGTGAAGAACATGAGTCCGTTTGCATGAGTTAAGGTGTGCAAAATAAATAACGTTATAGCCTGGGCCTATGCTCCCCAGTAAGAGGAAAAGGCAAGAAACGAGGTGAAACGGGGCGCCAACCTTTCCCCATCTCAGACTATCGCTCGGCTTACTTCACTCGTCGATTGTTTTTTCTTTCGCCCTTTCTGATTTATTTTTTCGCCTTTTCCCGCCACTGCGGAGCCCTGTCCCAGGTTACTGATGTTAGGATTCATTAGTCCACTGCCTGATTAGATGTCATCAAATAGTGTGCTATTATCTAAGAACTGGCCAATAATGAAACTTCAGAATAGGAGAAGTGCTTACAGTGCAAATACATACAAACGCAGTAAAGTATAATAAAGGCAGAGATAGTCAGTTCGTCTCAATGAATTCAACTATTGGACCAAGGCTTGGCTGGTAATGGTTATTCATTATCTAACTAATTTTTTTACAGGAAGCTGGTGTATAGCCTTCTTCTCTTGATTCGAGATTCCGGGAGATATTAAAGAAGATCGAGGACATAGTCATCAGAGACGAAACGAGAGCAATAATAAACTTCGAAAATAAGGAGTGCTCTCGAGCTGTTCAAGCCTGGAAAGCACGTTTGCTTCGTTCTGTTAATCAAGAAGAAGTAAAACAGGAAGCTGTTACTCAACTTGACGAAGAATCAAGCCTGATTATCATGGACTGGGTGATGAAATATCTGTCACAGCACTGCTTGAAGTCTTACATTTGGGTTACATATATTATGAGGCAAAAGCAAGTGAAAAAGCATTAGAATAGTTTATAATAGTTTGTACTACTACAGGCAAGCAAAACAAGAGGGCTAGTCTGATATATTTGTCTTTTTACCTTACCGAATTGACACAGTTTTTCAGATTATCCTCGTTATTATTAGCTTTGAATGTTTTTTTCCTATGCTTGTGAAGGTCGAACTTTGCGGAAAATAAATCCGCGGGACACTGCAGCGTGCCACATAAATATTTTTGGCGGGAAAAATTCCGTTTTGCATAAAGGGTGTTTCAAGAGGTTAAACGCTTACCTGTGTCAATATTTAGAAGTAAATACTCTTGCACAGGTAACTAAACAACCTGATTACCTTCACTGATCTTTGTCTAGTAAATTTTCTACTTATCGTCCAGACAAATATTTTTGTATATTATTTTTTCTCTGAAAATTTGGGGGGAAAAATTTCTGCTTGATGGCATTTTAGTGTAACTTTCGACGCCAGCCATAGCGATTTACCTAAAGATACCAATTTTAAGCTTGCTGTATTTTAATAAAGGTACAACAGGCTATTGATAAAATAAAGTTCTTTAAAAATAAACCACGCACGTTTGAAAAACAGCACTGCGAAAATGGCCAAAATTTGGCCCACATTCGTTATCGATTCGGTGCTAATATTAAGTGCGACATTGAAAACAAAGAGTTAAGCCCAAGAAAAAATTGTTATACTTCAAAACGTATGGCAAGTTTTTCTCACTTTGCTTTCTTTCATGTAGGTTCGACAAAAGTTGGCCAAAATTCAAGCTTTTTTAGGCCCGGGAGGGCCCTGATTTCAAGAAAATGTTTATCTTAAAATAAAAATAACACACCAACTTCTGAAAATATCACCGTTGATAATCTTTTCAGGTGGCTTTTGTATGGTAAAAAGGTGGAGGTCAAACGCCGACCTCGATCTTTTGCTCCTTCCCGGGTTTTCTCTGACAATGACATTTAAAGTGCTATTTTTGATCCTCAGTCATTTGAACGTTTTCGCTCCATGTAGAACGATGAACATTTTCCTTCCAACCAGTTTTTCAGTTTAAGCTATTAAGTTGGTAAGCAACAGCGCCAGCAAAGGTAGATCTTAGTTTCCACCAATACCTCGTATTATAAATTCTGTCAATCCTGTCAGAGTTATGTACAAAAGAGTAACATCATGGAGAAATTTCACTGTCAATTTCGCTATTTATCTACTACGCTTTGAATTAAAAATACTTATCCCTTTCCTAAAAGAAAAAATGCCAGACACAATTCCATGCGAAAGAAAGACGACTAAATGAGAACAAGAGAGGATAAAGGTGACAGAGAAGGCATCCCCCATACACACCCTGTTCCATAGGTAATTCGTCTCGAGTTATTTTTAAAATAGGGACAAAGTTACCTCGCGCGCTACGTGGATGTTTCGTGGATCCGGAGGTTTCGCAAGACTGAACGCCGTGCAAAACGTGTCGGGCTAAAGGCAATGAAAGCGTAAAGAGATCGAGAGCATCTCTGAATATTGAAGCGAAATGAGTCGGCGCTCACCTGGGAAAAAGGTATCGCTGGACTCTTTGAGAACCCGTGAAACCAGTTTAACTCGAAGGTGTCGTAACCTCAGTGCTTTAATAAAATGAGAAATTTCGCCGGTCTATTGAGACCGGTCGTTTGTATAATAAAGCAAGTAAGACACCAAGTGTTATTTTTGTTGAATAATAAAAGACTAATAAAAGAATAAATATCAAACCAGAAATTTAGGCTCTCTTCAAACTGTAAATTATAAATGATCCTGGGAGAATATTCCGTGTGTTAAGGATTTCCCTGCTGTACTCTTAGCTTTATACAAGAGAGCAAGGGTGATTCTTTTTTAATTTCCGTTTCGCTGACACAGCTTTAGCAGAAATCTCTCTTCAGTCGTTTTCGTCGACAAAACAAATAGCAATATCGCTCTCCGCGTCTTCCGCCATTTTTTCCTGAGTCAATTCGTGAAGGACGGGTGGCTCTGAGCTTGGGTTGTACACGCGGAACACATTCGCGCTATGAGATTGGCTGTTGTCTAACCCCCCTTGGGATTTATGGTCTTAAAAATAACTCGAGACGAATTACCTATGGAATAAGATGTGTATGGGGGATGCCTTCTCTGTCCCCTTTTATCCTCTCTTGATGAGAAACAAAACTGGACATAAACAAGAATGGCAAAGGGGAAAAAGAGAACGAGAAAATCGAAATAGATTCGCAAAAAAGGCCAAACTTTGACTTTTTCCGTCTTATGCGCATGCGCCAAAAGCAAAAAAGCTGCTTAGTCACATCTGATTGATGACAAATTCTGCCCTCAATCTTTAAAAAAGATCGTTTTTAGCCATTCCCCTAATAATTAGCCCAAAACCAGTCCAAAAAAGAGAAATTGGTGAGAAATGCATTTATGTTTTCGCTACTCGATAAGGGTTACCAAAGTGTTAAATACGGAACACTTTGAAAATCCCTAAACCATCCCTTACAAACCCTAATGTTTCTATTACGTTAAAGCAATTCTCACTCGTCAGCTTGGGATACCTTTGACTACACATGGGTAGCTAGTGCGTCCTTTACTTTAAAAAGAGATTTGAGACTTTCTTAGAAATATTTCGTTATTTAATTACCTGCAAATACCATCTCATCACAAACAACTCCTACCACCCCACGGTGACACTCTCCGTACCATGGGCCTTGGGTGCAGTTGAGGAGGGAGTAAGCACCGTAGTCGCAGTAAAATGAAGTGTGTAGAATTGACAAGTTACCAGCGCCAAATTCACCATCTCGATAGTGTCCTGTTGCCATATTATAACCAAGCTTTCGACACACTGTAGAGTGTGCGTCACCATCGAAATAACTGGAACAGAGTGTCCACCAAGTGTCATTGGAATAGAACTCTATTCGTCCCTGATTTGGAGCACCTCCATCGGTAAGTCTTACATCACCTGTAAAGAAAATCAGAAAAATAATATAAATAATATTTCGACGATGAAGGTTATTTTACAGTGTAGCACGCAACAGAGAGAAGTGTGAAGTCACGTTACCATCGCAGCAAAATAATTTTGGCCCATCTTTCCGTGACAGAGACCGCCATTTGCATTGTCGAACGACGGGAAGAAAATAGGCTACCATTTTCTTTCTGTGTGAAATCATCCACAGGAAAGTCATACATGACTTTTTTATTATTTACTTTTTTTTTCCCTGCCATATTTGCTGAAAACCATGGTTTGTTCTTGACTGAAACAGGAGTTTGCTACCATGGCTACGTGACCAAGAGAGGATAAAGGAGACAGAGAAGGCATCCCCCATACACATCTTATTCCATAGGTAATTCGTCTCAAGTTATTTTTAAGACCATAAATCCCAAGGGGGATTAGACAACAGCCAATCACATAGCGCGAATGTATAACCCACGCTCAGAGCCACCCGTCCTTCACGAATTGACCTAGGAAAAAATGGTGGAAGACGCGGACTAGCGATATTGCTATTTGTTTTGTCGACGAAAACGACTAAAGAGAGATTTCTGCTAAAGCTGTGTCAGCGAAACGGAAATTAAAAAAGAATCACCCTTGCTCTCTTGTATAAAGCTAACAGTACAGCAGGGAAATCCTTAACACACTGAATATTCTCTCAGGATCATTTATTATTTACAGTTTGAAGAGAGCCTAAATTTCTGGTTTGTTATTTATTCTTTTATTAGTCTTTTATTATTCAACAAAAATAACACTTGGTGTCTTACTTGCTTTATTATACAAACGACCGGTATCAATAGACCGGCGAAATTTCTCATTTTATTAAAGCACTGAGGTTACGACACCTTCGAGTTAAACTGGTTTCACGGGTTCTCAAAGAGTCCAGCGATTCCCTTTTCCCAGGTGAGCGCCGACTCATTTCGCTTCAATATTCAGAGATGCTCTCGATCTCTTTACGCTTTCATTGCCTTTGGCCCGACATGTTTTGCACGGCGTTCAGTCATGCGAAACCTCCGGATCCACAAAACATCCACGCAGCGCGCGAGGTAACTTTATCCCTATTCTAAAAATAACTCGAGACGAATTACCTATGGAATAGGGTGTGTATGGGGGATGCCTTCTCTGTCCCCTTTATCCTCTCTTGGTTAATAGCTATCGCTTATTTAAACAATTTTTACTCCTTCGGTTGGATAATTGTTTTATTTTCTTTACTAGTTTTTTTTTTTGTTTTATTTTCTTTACAATTTTTTTCTCCACCTGTAATTTTAGTCCTTTTCAAATAACAAAATCCCCTGTAAGTGAATTTATATGTAAGGTGTTTCTTTCTGTACGTTTTTGTATTTCTTTTCTTTTCTTTTTTCTTGTGTAATTTAATAACGTCTTTATGTAAAGTCTTGTCCTCCCTAAATTAGCATTATAGCTACTTGCGGGAGATAAAATGGTAAACTTTATATTTCTTGAAATAAAAACATTGTTATTGTTGTGTTGTTGTTGTTGTTGTCACCTATAAACCACGCTAGTGGTGTAGTTTATGTGAATTCATTTAAATTATACTTTGATTTTAGTAGTATCCACTCCAAAAGTGATTGATGTGCTGAAATAAAGAAAATTTGGATTATAGTGCAGTAATATGCGCTACTAAAAAATTAATAGCTAACTAAAATTAGTAGTTAACTGAGAATTGGCCTAAAAAAATAGTAGTTAACTGAGAATTAGCCAAACAATTAGCAGTTATCTGATAAATGGGTACCCCTATTAGCAACCTCAGAAATCTCCTCCTTACTCAACTGTCTTACATTCTTACCATATGAAATCTGTGCGGCGGGGTGTTACCCCCCATACATTTTACTATAGCTGGAGAGAGGAACGTTTGTATAGAGCGGTTTTCACTTGACTGTCGAAAGTAATTGAGGAATTGGTTTGGTTTTGGTTTTACTACGCCCTTTGGCTGGCTAGTGTATTTACTTTGGTTTTGGTTTTACGACAGTCTAGTGAAAAGCGCTCTATACAGCGCCATTAAGGATACACTTTAAACAAAAAACTCACCGTCCGATGGATTGGCGATTACAAAGTTAACCACTGTCAAGAAAGAAGAACAGAAACTGGCAATTAAAATCACGTTTTCCTTACAAACAATCTTCTCTTACTTTTGAAACAGGGCCTTGAGGAGTTAGTTTGTGTCCTTGATTTCAGTTGATTGCATCGTCCAAATTCCTTTCTCCTTCCCTTTCGAACGTCTGCCACGCAGGCTACCTTTGTTTTACCGAAGATTGGCCGATCAAACAATCATACGATCTTGTTACACCACGTACCAACTAAACTGGTCCTGGTTGTCAAACTTTATCCACCGAATAAAAATCTGTTCAGTAGATAATGCAATTGGTTTCCCTAATTCTTATCCGCTGGATAGTGATTAATATCGGGTGGATAGCGCTATCCAAAGTTTGAACAACAGGGGCCTGGTAAAAATATTATCCAACACTCCGAAAACCGCTGAAGGCAATGATTGCGGACGAAAAACAACGACTTAAAAGAAACCTTTGCTTTTCCGAGACTCTCTCGAATGCGTCGCCCTTCCGGCGCCTTTCGTTTCCACCATCCAATTTGTATGATACTATGGAAAGACTATAAAACAAGTGATTACGTAATAATCCTAGTCTGGGAGACATTTTTGGAAGATTAAGCGTCATTGCTTTGCTATCTAACTGCTGTAAAGCAAAGTGCAATTACGCATAAGGTTTACATACTGTGCGACTTTTGAATCGACTACCAAAGCAACCGATAAATATACCGTCCGCGAAGTTTACTTCGATGAACTCCGGGTATCGAACAAAGTGGAGTTCTGTAACTCTTGGACAAGAGTTACCAAGCTCTAATTTTGACCTCGATATTTATTTGAATTTCAAAATTAATGGTCTAGTCTATTAAGTTTAGTGTGAAAACACGAAACTGTTAACGATTACTGACATATAAAAGAGGGTTGAAAAAATTGAAAAAAGCTTGCAGGATGGAAGAGAAGACTACGACCTTGACAAATATGAGGCAGGTACTGAATTATCTCAGTGTTCTTAATAGATGCTTCACAACACGATGTTAACTATTACACAACTGTATGAAAAACAGCTGCCCGAGGCAACTAAACTATTAATTGTGCGGTTTGCCACCAGATAATAAAAAAATGACATATTTTGTTAATGCCCAAATCTCCATAACTTCAAAAGGGTTTGCCATTCAAGTGGGATCAAAATGAAATCGGTTTTTGGGGGTATGGTTGATGATTTTAGATTGTCGTTTGTTTTTTTTTTTTTAATGTCCAAAGCGATAATTTAGCTGCCCGTAGCTAAATATCATGTAGCTTTAGGAACGTGTACTTTTACCTTTCGAGCTATTTTGAAACAATAGTAGTTGCTAGACGAAAACAGCGACATTAATTGACGGCATTTGAGTAATGCATGCATGTCCAAACCGTGACGACTCCATCATAACATAGCAGCACTCCGATGAAAACCATGCATTCAGTCACGGAAGAATTTTTGAATTTTGTGCAACAATAAAGTCCTCTCTTGTGTGCTTCCCGTGGGAATCAAAGTTTCATGAGCCTATTTCTTGCGGGAAAGAAGAGATATAGGCTGGACAGTTTCTCTACAATGCCTGAAGAACTCATTTGAAATGCTTATTCATTTGCGTCAAACGGGCGTGCCAGTATCCAGTTAAAGAAAAACAAAAAAATGCTAGGAAACTTGTCAGTTTGCTTAAGCCAAAAAAAAAAAAAAATTGCACCGATACAATGCGGGTATAAAAATAGTTTAAAACTGATATTCTCGACTTAAAAATACACGCTGAGAACCGAATCTTATTAGACAAGGGGTACATCATGTTGGTAGTGGCAAACAAAGCGGGAAAGCGCACTGCAGCTAAAATGCTCTCTGAATTATTAAAACAAAAATAAAAAAGAATAAGGATACAGAGTATGTATATGAAGACGTAGATAAGGTGAGGCAAAGTTCTTTCAGCAACACTTTTTAAGAACATTGTTAAAGACAGTGATGGAAATCTGAAGTTCGCTGTCTAACTCTAATGATCAGTTCAGTGTTCATCTAAGCATTTCAGTTATATGAGCCGCACGAATATACCTTCAGTTCCTAAATTTAGATACGAATACAACGTGATTAAAGAGAAACAAAGTACGTTAAAATATATTCGGTACAGGTGATCTCCAAAGTTAAGAACTTCGAGTCGCATATCAATTCTGAAGTAAGTAATAAGTAACAAAAGATGATATTTAAAACAATTAGCTAAGTTAGAAGATGTGGCGTAAATTCTTTCTTTCTTTGCCGATCAATGAACGTTTCTGCGTTGCATCTAAATTTAAACCTTTCAAATGAAACAGAAGCTGTAGGCTTTAGAAAGCTAGAGATTATGCATGAATTTTGGGATGTATGACTTTGGGCAAACGGTTGATAACTACTGCCTGCAGGGGCAAAGAAAAACAGACACGACCATGCACAGTTTGGTCAGGGTTTGCACCTTTGCAATTACCAACTGGCGTATACATTTGGAAATGTCTCATCTCGTTATCTGTATAATAAAGGCCAAAGAAAACAAAGCAACCGTTTAAAAGACCTGAACAGCAACATCTTGCCATGGACATTGCAGACTACTCTTTCCTCTTAGCCTGCGCTACTTAGTAACATCTGTTATGAAATATTGAATCCGTGTGACGTCGATTTTAAAAAACGAGAGCGGAACAATTTTTGCTTCAATTCAAAAGAAAGAAAGAAACAAAATACATTCATTGTCTGGGATCGATGTGTTCTGTCCTGCTAAATACTAAATGAAGCATATCTGAGTATTATACAAGCCAGTTCAAAGACGTCTTCGCGATTTGCCGAAGATGACAGGTTCACTTGCTTTTCTGATGCCGTTGTGATATGGTCTGTACTGGAAAGCATTTCACGTTTGACTAGATTTATGATACAT